TCAAAACTACTAATTATCAATAATACTACAAAATGATGAATAATTAGTTTCGTTTCAACTATTTCCTAAATACTGTTTTTGGCCAACTGTAGCAAAAATAGCTGGTGCTTGTGGTTCAGTGGTGCCATGTTTTCATTAAACCAGCTCAGCAAACACTCGAAAACTGATTAACGCAAACTGTGATACAGCAAGAGAGTGAGGCTCATTTTCTCTCCTCCCATCTAAGGATGAATGGGAATTATACAGTAATGTGAGTGGCGCTTGTCAGACTTTATTTTAGTGATTATGGGTCTTACCGAGTCCTTCGTGTCACATTCACGAGAGAGAAAAACAAGGTCCAATGCAATGATTAGGATTCATTGGTGGATGTTTGACGTGTGTGTGGGTGTGTGGTCTGTAACAATTGGTTTTGATTTGCTTTGGTTGGTGTTTTTGTTGTGTGAGTGTGTCAGAGTGTCAGAATACGATTGTTGCCAAAGTGTCTGTCGGTGTTTCTGAGAAAAATAGCTTCTGATAATTACCCTGGCACAACTAGAGTCACAACATTGGACGCAGGACAGCAGTAAAAGTGTGTCCACGTGTGCTGTCTGGGTCATATGAGGGACGCATGGTGGGCGAGATGCAGCGGTTAGCATTGAGTTAGTGAGCTTAGGTGTTACTTGCATATACACACGGCAAGTGCACAGCAGACAATTTCAAGCAGGTTAAGACCCTAAACTAAATGCATTTAGTGAAAGGTTTGCTTGAGAGCGGCTTACAAAATACAACGACAGTGATATATGCGGGCAGATTTGATAGCAATTCCTAAATGCAGTCTGGAGAGGTTATCTGTTTGCCAATCGACAGTAATGATAGTGGTTGAATAATATACTCCTATCTCCTGCCAGGATGGGAACTTTTAGCAAACTCTGAAATAAGCTGATTGAGGCCTTTGTTGGAGGGTTGAGCACAACAAGCTGTTGTGTTCTATTGTCAACCCCCCCCCCCCCTACATTCTCCCGCTGACAAACATTTTTAGATTTGATCATGCGCAACAGATGCAATGGCATCTATTTAGGAAGAGGAAAGAGACATTTGTTTGAAAATCCATCAGTTTGGCTGAGACAAAAATGTGGCTGTGCAAACTCATAGCCTGAACTGTGTGTCGTTTCTATCACAGTGTAACTCCTTGTAATGTAGTAGAACATATGAAGTGTATGTCCCAATATGAAGAGGAACGTTGTTATTGAACACAATTCAAATACAATCATAATCCAAGATAATGTGGGTTTGTTGTTGATCTCGTGTCAGCTTGTTCCTGTCCGTATTCTGGAATCCATTCCTTCTTCTCCAAAATGCAGGCTTCCAGGCCCCAAATCACTGATTCAGTATGAGCACTATGCTAATGTGTGAACTGGTAATGTCAAGTAAAATAGCAGAAATATCCCATCCTCCCCCTCTCCTCTTACTGATTTGTTTACCTCTGTTTATTCTTTCTGTGCCAGCAGCACACTCAAGTCACTATTTTTACATCTACAACCAACTTGTTCATAGTAAAGCCGCTTCTGTATCTACACATGTTGGTACAAGACCTTGAATTGCACATATTGGACAAGATTCGTATTGTACATCAGTATTCAAATAGTTATTGTGTCTTGCACCTTGAACCTTTCGTTTAATTATACTACTCAGATCTGTAAATCAAAAAACAATTTGATTTGAACTAAGGCCAATCGGATTTCCTCCCCATGACTTCACTAACAAAGTTAGAATACTTATTCCATCCTCAGCGAAAGCATTGTGTGTACATCCCTTATGTTTTAATTGTAGTCATTTGACTCATCTACTGGTATGTTTTCTTAGCGGAAGTGGAAACACGGAGACTCAATCGCAGGATGTTAAAGCAACATTTTAAGTAGTTCAACGTGGATAATACCGTGATTGGAGCCCATTGCGAGGTTACACTTTAAATGTAAATGCAGCTTGTGCCGCATACAAAGCTGCCTTGCCCAGATAATCCTTAGAAGTCCTTAACAGACTGGAGAGCTCATCCATCTTGTTTGCCTGTGACCTTACATTTCCTACTGCGACAAATGCCAGTTAGAGTTTAAGTGTCAACCCAGCTTCTGCAAAGCAGTTCTCTTTCCTTTTCATCATTTGGACTTAGGCGTGCTTCAGGCTCCGGGGAAATGAGCTGTGGGTGTCAGACGCTTGGAAGGCGTGGTATTGTTAAAGGTTGCATATACAATATATTTCCCCTCAATGGCTCTCAACATGGGGATTGCTGAGCATGCGGCTCGTAACAAACAGTGATAGGGCTAACAGTGAATCCCTGATGGGGGAGGGAGGGGGGGGGGGGACCAGGAGTCGCAAAGCTTCTGCGACGACGCAGAGAGTCGTGGCGGTTTGATCAGCTGTTAACAGCGAGGTTCGCCCGCATGCAGCAGCGTACGCTGAAAGCATGCGCAGGCGGGCGGGCAGGCGATGTATCCAGAGTAACCAGATGCTTAAACACCTGTAAATACAACTAATACTTCAGAGACGGAGACGGAGGAAGGAGAGACAACAGTAGAGACTTTCCCAGACTGCCCCGACCCATCGCTGTTCAGCTCCTAAGTTGTCAATTGTCAAGTTGTGACATTTTTCATTTAAGTTGCTAATACTACCTCAAAAACAAACAAAGCAAAACAACGGGGACAAGCTTCCCTTCAGCACACCAGTCACATGGTAATTAGACTCAATCTCCGTTCTGGTGATTAATCAAACTTGAGCTGGTATTAAACTGATGCATGTAGAGGAAATCAAGTGCTCCCTATTTAAAGGGAAGTTGCATGAAACACAGCTGCAGGCATCAACATTTCCTTTTTACAAGCTCCTTTGTATTCTACGGATAATCGCTTTATTTATGTGATTGTGTGCTATGTTGGCATTGCTATAATCATTTATTCATCGAGTCAAGTTTGATTGGACGCTTGAAGAAGTCCTATTGTCACGTAAAGACTGGTACATCTAAACTGATCTCCATATCAAGCGACCCCCTGTGAGGTCCCAAACCCATGGCTGGAAATAACAAGTTGCCATTGTTCTATATCGCAGATGCTAGTGAAGATGTTTATATATTTTTTGTTCAATTTAGTTCTAAAGGTATTTCAGTGAAAATAAAAGACGCTGTCGTAGGATCGACAAGATCATCTCAAAATCTCATTGAAACCTGATGTACTCAACGCTTTATTCCACATAACTCTATTTTACCAAGCGGTGTTAGTTATCATTTTCGTACACTCCTTCCATCTCTTGCATTGCATTATATAGAATATAAGTTTTAAGTTTGTCTTCATGTGATCTCGATTTATATATATACAGATTGATGAAGAGTGGATAATAAATAATTCAAGTCACAATTATTTTCTTTCCCCATTCAGTTTGCTGTAAAATGGCTCATGAATCAGTGTAAACACATTAATCCCACTCTGTCCTTGCCTGTGAAAGCCATCAACACATTCAGGCTTTTAGAGCCGTACCAGCTTTTTACGGTTGCCTGTCATCATTTTGTTCCCTTAAAGGCGTGCAGGGATCTAAAGCTGAGCTCAAGTGTCACCTTAACATCACATTTCAAAGGACAGGTTTGGAAATGATTATCACTGTTAACTGCTTGACTGACAGGCCTTTTATAATACAGGGACTTTTTAACAACTTTTATTTATTATTTATTTATTTTATTTCATCAGCTTTTTTTTCATGCTTTAAAGGGTTTGTTTCCATCCGTTTGATTTTACAAACACAGAAGTAAAAAGATCCTTCAAGTTATTCTGAATTGAAATAAAGGTGGATTTTCCATTGGGGCAAACTGGAACTGTTTTACAAGTCGAAGCACAGACTGGAACTTAGTGGAATAGCTTTTTGTCCCCAAAAATGTAAATACGTGGTGTGTGTGTACACTTTTTGTTCCATTGTGGGAATCTACAGGATCAGCCTGTACTATTTGAATACTAAATGATCATTTTAATGAGATGAGCCCAGCTTCCTTGTGTTTTCAAGGTGGCTGACTTCTGAGGTCACCGCGTCACAATCACCCCTATTCACTCAAATACAGAGAAGTCCTTATTACACAAGCTGTTAAACGCTGTCATCCACAAAGCCCACAATCTATCCAGTTCAAAAGCAAAGGTGAAAACCCATTACATTATTTGAGAGAATAAATTACTCTCCACACCTTTTTAAGGTTGTAAAGGCCAGAAGGAGTCAATCTGATGACCTGCAGTGAATTATTATATGCACACACTCACACACTTCAGAAGACCACCGACTGTGAAATTACCCAATCAGCGGGTCTTGTCGGTTCCCAGACATTAGTCATCACACATAGGCCAACTGAGGTGATACACACACACACACACACACACACACACGCAGTGAAGACAGAGAGGTTTGAAATGTTCATAAAGCTCCACTAAAGTTAATCCCATATAATATTTGGTATGAAGAACTCTGTGTGTGTGTGACCCTCACATTCCTTTCTAAGCACAAGCTGCAAGCGCACACTTCACAACCGCCTTCATCTACAGCACATACAATGTAAAGCGTACCCAAGACATGTACGCATGGAAGAAAGAAAGAGGAGCCCACGAGCCGGTGACACCGCATCCCGGCGGTGTCGAGGGGGTGTTGCAAACAGCGATGAACTGAAAATGAAACGCAATTATGAACCTGTCATAGACCTCTTACATACACGTACGATGATGTTTTCTCCCAGACGCTAATTCAAGGACGACTCAATACACTGCTATTGTGTCACGGGTTGAATGTAGTGACAGCAAATAATCTGAAATCAGGCTTTGTTAATAGAACTTTGACAAAATGCACAACGAATACAGGGACATAAAAACTCAACCTGCAATTTATTTTGGTGAACTGTTCCAATGAACGTCAATAAGTGCCTCCGGTTCCGGCCATCACCTGTATTACCTGAGGTGCAGAAGCGCCTCTGTCTCTAAATGCATTCCTTTCCCCGTTCCTTTCAGGTGAAGTACGGCCGCTTTGGCTTTGTGTGGGATGCGGCGGTGCTGGAGTACGTCGCCAACAACGACGAGGACTGCTTGTTCTACACCGTCAGCAGCAATGCACCAGACCGCGGGTATGGTATCGCCATGCAGCACGGCAGCCCCTACAGGGACATCTTCTCCCAGAGGTAAGAGTCGGGACCGCCAACCACCGAGAGCACCGCTCTGCACTGCAGTGTATTTGTTATCTAGGACAGGTGGCACGTGCACATCAATGGAGCCGCCATTTCCGCTTCACAACGCTCAGTCACGTTGTCTTCTTTTTTCAAGCTGACGAAATGTCGCTTACTTTTGAGAAAGGTTATGTAAAAAATCTGCATTCATATATTCTCCTACTTGTGGAGATTTGTATGTGTGTGTTTTTATTGATCCAAATGGATTTTAGCCAAACACCACCACAATGGAACACACATTTGGGGTCCTGCTAGATCAAAGTATGTCATGGACCAGGAAATTCACAGAGTCCCGCATGTATTCACTTGTTCCCTGCTCGGTAAGTCTCGTTTGGCTATAAGTAAGCCTGGTTGACACCACACAAAGGTCATTCTTGCATCTGTTCAGCCACTGCGCTGTTGTCGTGTTGTGGTCCTTGTTGGATTGTTTGTATATCATCAGATTGCAGGTTCAGTGACACAAAACAAAGCAAGTGTTTCAGTCATGGCTGCATTATGATTGCTTGCATACCAACAAATGCTCTGGTTGCCTTTATTTGTGATCAAGCGTGACATCGTTGATTAAGATTATGGAAAAACTTGAATATCCGATCCGTCATCATGCTATCAAAACTTATTTTATGTGAGATCTTCTGTCATTGTATGGAAATGTGTGAACTTTAAAGGCTGTTCGGATGACTAGGCCTGTCTGTTTATGGCTCCATATCCGGTGGAGCGTCACTCTTTCCTATCGTGGCTGTTATTAAAATAAACAAGCAATTAATTGACAGGCCATGTTTCCAATTCCCTTCCATTATTTCCAGGCCAATGTCACACTCTCGGGAAGACGGTTTAATGCAGTTTACTCGCCCTGCTTCCCAGGGCTCCCACAAAAACAGACACAGAAATCATCAGGAGCAATAAATAATCACAGAGGTGTAATTGTTTTGTTTTTCCACGCTGTGATTATTTTTTACTTTTCATCCTGACATTCTGTATTATGCAGATTGATTAAGTACCAGGAGGAGGTTGGACTGGAACTGTTTCATCCGTCCGTGCCTCGGTAACACAAAGAGAAATCTTTCACTCAGCTTGATTATCCGTAGTAGCCTGGTCCTGACATGTCTGGCAAATTGATGATTACAACTGGATTTTTGTTTACTTGTAAACCATCAATTCGTTCAAAATACAACAACAATTTACTGACTTAGATGATCATTTTCCTTGCACCAACTTCAACACACACCTGTGCGTTTGAACATAATGTCCTCCAACACACCCGTCCAACCTCAGAATGCATCTCGGTTTCTGCAACGCTTTTCTCGATGATCACACTTATGCATGCCTGTGGAAGAGAGCATTTAAGATATTGACTACAGCTTTAGGTTGTTCAATCTTTATTTCAGAGGAACATATTCCATCTCAAGGTTTTTGATTCCGTTGTTTACAACATTGAGGTGTTCTCCGTGGGTTTGGATTCATAATATCAGATTTTACAATCCTCAATTACGATGCGATTGCCGTGATATATTCTCTCATATAGCAAGTATTCTCCATGCTTTCAAACTCCAAAGCAACAACACAAAAAGCGTCCCTCGGCGGTCATCAAGTTGATGCAGTACAGCATTAGTTTGATATCAGAGTGTGGAAGTCAGAATGATAAAATACACCGTTCACGTACATTCAAACAAGTTAGAGATGCTGATGATTTGTCAAATGATTTTGAATAATTTCATTTTTGTGTACGTGAATATTGTTTAATAATCAATCAATTATTTGCTTTTTGTTTGTTGCAAAAGAGACTCCAATGAAATGTCTTTATGTAAAAAAATGTTGATTAAAAGAAATTAGACTCACGAGAAAGTGAGACACTATAAAGAAACGTGAGATGGTTAAAACCATAGATGTAACTAAAGACCCCAATGTATGAATCTTAGAATAAATCTACAACCTCAGAGAACTACCTACATACTCACTTGTAATGAGAGAACCAGTGAGTGCATTCGGCACACTTGAGGATTGTTTACTATCCGCGGGTCCCTGGAGGCATTAAGACGCATGAAAAACAACTTATTTGCTTTGACACTTCTGACAGAAAGAGAGAAGGGAAATGTCTGTAGAAATAGACAGACTGCTACAGCCTCATCGTTTTCAACCACTTTGCTGGTTTGGAAGAAGACATTGCCAGAGTGCAAGTGCAGCGCATACTTGATGTGTGTGTTTGTGTGTGTGTTTGGATCTAGGTGTATTTGCCTGCACTGTATGTGCGACTTTGTGTGCACTTGTGTGTGAGTGGGGGCTGCTGTTCTTCGATGGATGGAAACAGTCTGCAGATTTACCAGAGTCAGAAAACACTGGCGTAAAGGAGTAGTTCGCTAATATAAACTGACAGCTACTGACAAGTTGTTTTGAAGTGCTGCTGAAGGGGCCAGATTGTGGGAGGGAATAAGCCCTTTCTCCCAGGCATATATTACATTTCTGTCCACGAGCGTCTGAAGGCATTGATGTGAGCAGTTAAAATAGAAGATCTAATCCACGGCAGATGGACATCTCGAGGGTGCGGCAGTCTGAGAAAGATAAGCTGCAGGCCAGACATTTTATTGCACATATTGAATACGATTACGTTCCACATTTGGATTGCGAGATAGATGAGATGCCTCGTTGTGTGTAGGACCGCAGAATTCCAATCTTCTGTGTGGACAGTGCAAGAAATTCAATGAAAGTACAGCAGAGAAAACCATTGATTAGTATGATATCAGGAACATGCTGTTTTCATTTTTATTTAAATGATTTCAATTGATAAATAAATGTGGTGAGCACAGTGTGCCACATTGACCAGATGGATTTGATTATGATCTCACCTCTTATTTTGTAACTTTCATCTGTGGCCTGAGTGCTGATCATAATTCATTGGTAATCATCCTCACCTTGTGTGAGAGTAACCTGTGAGATGGTATTTTACTACTTGTGAGAGACTGTCAAGTTTATTCCGAACACTGGAAGGAAACATGTTCTTTCACATAAATGCATTGCGCTATTGCGAACCTTGAAGTGACATTTTATGAATCAGGTAGTGGAGTTTTTCTGAAATGTCACATATGAATGGCTTCTAAAGCTGCCTTTGCCCATGTAAATCTTTTATTTTAGTCCCAGCAGAAGCGTTGTAAACAGAGGCAGCAGAAATGGGGTCTAACACCTGCTGTTCGCTCTCACAGATTAAAGGCAATTTTGAATAACCACTTTGCTACTTTAACAGTCAAAAGCTGCCAATACAGTTAATGTAATGTTCTTAGAAAAAAGCCTCTCTGATTGCCTCCATAATTACACTAATTTAAAGTCTCTTCTAACTTGAATCTTAAATACATCTGGTCAGCTGTGTTTGAGGTTTATTTTTTTTACTTTACTATTTACTTTTTTAAACTTTTTTTTTGTCTTTCACTCTTTCTTATGGATACATGGATACATGTCTTTTATTTTTTACTTCGTATTATGCATCGAATCCAGATTTCCATGTTGATTTCATGAGAGAAAAAGACCACAATAAAAACACAGAAAAAGAGACAGAAAAAAAACAATTCCTGTGCTTTCCGTCACCAGAGAACGTCAATGTTGTTTAAAGTCACTTCTTCTAGTTCAGATTTTGAACAAACAGATTAATTTAGGTCTAAAACTGACTGATTGTTGAGGCTCTTTGTAGTACCAGAAAACGTGAGCTACATGAATAATAAAAATAAGGCTTGATCAAGGCTTCTGTTAAAAAAGCCGAAAGCCGAAAAGCAGATCTATTATTCACCATCTCGCTGCCTCGATCTCTCACACACACAAACACACACTAATTCACACGGTGAGCTCAAGTTAGTCTGGAGGCTCTGAAGCCAACAATTTCCAATCCATGGAAATCACTATCCATGGGGGAAAGTAATGCATTTTTGTCCAAGGCTGGTAGGCAAAGAAAGACGAGTTTTCAGTGCGTCTGACGGTTTCTACGACGTTGAAATTGTTCCACGTGACAAAAAATGTCTCGTCAGGTGTCAATCTAATATCCCTTTCTCCCCCTGTCTCAGCTCTCTCACCTTAAAACTGTCACTCTTCCACCGATCCATCACAGTAAAGACCAGCCCACACACTTAGTATATTCATTAAATCTTTATTAATCACAATTAATGGTGCGGATGTGGCTCCCTCTCTGTTTCTCCCTCCCTCACTCTCCCGATGCGTTGATGACGGCTAATGACTGTCTGACTTCTGCGTGTTGTTCATCATAGTTCAGCTTTGATAATCTGTTCCAGTTCACCCACACACTTAATGGTGCTTTAATTGAAAACTTTTGTTGACAAAGTGTATGACATTGAACCTGGAGTGTGTCAATTTGAATAACGAATCTTGGCAAACTTTACTTACGGGACCAAAAGATTGGTGATGGGTGACGGACCTCTCTTTCTCCGTTCCTTCGAGGTGAAGTGTGGCGACGCACCGTCGATTGAAGGGGGGGGGCGCTAGGTGGCTCGTTGGTCAGCGCCGACCCTTCATGGTGGCTCCATGTCGGTGACATTGGGCCCGACTTGTTTCCCACTGTGGGTGAAGGTGAAAGACAGAGGCCAGCGTGTTCTCTCTGCAAGTGGGAACGGACCCAGTCCACGGCGAGGGAGGTCACCGGTGAGACCTCCTTGGTTAAACTCGCCATTAACAGATAGCTCGAAAGCCAATGAGCACCACCGGTGCCAAAAGATGATTTCCTCTGACTGCAGCGTGTGTGGCTGTGGTTCACTGTGCTTCAGCCTTCACTTTTCACAGTCATTTCTCTTCTTTTTTTTCATAAAACACAGGGGGAGGATAATCCGGAGCAGGTGCTGTCCACTAACATTCCGCACATTCCGTTTGATTCTGACGAATGCACTCAGTGACTCACTTTGTGGGTGTTTGTGTGCTTTTTTTTTTTTTTAGGAGACGTCAACATTAGATTTATTTCAGTTTGT